GCCACCGCAGCCTCGACCTGCTGGGCTCAGTGATCCTTCCGCCTCAGCCTTCCAAGTAGCTGGAATTACAAGCAGGCACCACCACGCCCAGCTAATTTTTAAATTTATTGTAGAGATGAGGTCTCGCCAATTTCCCAGGCTGGTCTTGAACCTGTGGGCTCGGGCAATCCTCTCACCTTGGCTTCCCAAAGTGCTGGGATTATAGGTGTGAGTCACTGCGCCTGGCTGGTTGCTGTTTACGTGATAAAAACCTGGAGCTAAGCCGGGCATGGTGGCTCAAGCCTGTAATTCCAGCACTTTGGGAGGTGGAGGCAAGAGGACTGCCCGAGTTCAGGGGTTTGAGACTAGCCTGAGCAACATGGTGAGACCACGTCTCTACAATAAATCAAGAAATGAGCCAGCCCTGGTGGCACATGCCTGTGGTTCCAGCTACTTAGAAGACTGAGGCGGAAGGATCACTGAGCCCAGCAGGTTGATGCTGGGTTGGCCATGAGCGTGCCACTGCACTCCAGCCTGGGTGACAGAGTGAGACTCCAATTCAAAAGCAAAAAAACTTAGAGCTTTAGATGACAACAGACTATGAGTCAGCAGGTTATGTGGTGGCCCAAAGAGCTGCGCCTAGGGCTGGAGCTTGAACAAGGAGGGCATTTGGTGCTGGGGACCCAGGTCAGAGGATCCTGGCAAATGGGACAGGCACCAAAGGAACAGATGTGAGCTGCAGGGCGAGGCAGGTAAGGTGACTTGGTACAGAGTTGAAGGAAGCACTCACTTCCAGGGTCATGCATCGCCCTGAGAGTCTCATGCTTGGGAGGTGCTTACTCCCGAGGAATGCAAGGGAGCTGAGGCCCTGAAAGTTAATGCTTCCTTCAACTCTGCACCCAGATTCCTCCCTCATCCTGCCCAAGTCCTGGCTGTGGTATGAAAGAGGGTGAAGGTCTGGAAACTGGGTCAGAGCAGGAGAATTGAAAGACTGTAGATGGCTGGGCGCAATGGCTCACATCTATAATTCCAGCACTTTGGGAGGCCAAGGTAAGAGGATTGCCTGAGCCCATGGGTTCAAGACCAGACTGGGCAACTTGGAGAGACCTCATCTCTACAATAAATCCAACAATTAGGCGGGTGTGGTGGCGCACGCCTGTAGTACCAGCTACTTGGAAGGATTGCCTGAGCTGGAAGGATCGCCTGAACCTAGCAGTTTGATGCTATGGTGGCTGTGAGCATGCCACAATGCACTCTGGCGTGGGTGACAGAGTGAGACTCTGACTCAAAAAGAAAGAAAGAGCCGGTCTCGGTGGCTCAGCCTATAATCCCAGTGCTTTGGGAGGCTGAGGTGAGTGGATTGCCTGAAACCGTGGGTTCTAGATCCACCTGGGCAACTTTGCAAGACCTCATCTCTACAATAAAAATCAAAAAATTAGCCGGGCGTGGTAGCGCGCGCCTGTAGTTCCTGCTACTTGGGAGGCTGAGGCGGAAGGATCACCAGAGCCTATCAGGTTGAGGCTGCCATGTCCAGGAGTGGCAACTGCACTCCAGTCTGGGCGACAGAGTGAGACTCCAACTCAAAAAAAAAAAAAAAAAAGGGAAATCCATGAGCATAAAAATATATAAAACATGGAATGCAGTTATTTCTAGGCAGAGGTAATAATTCAAGATATATTAAAAAACCACATAAAAGCAATATTTGTTGCACACCCACCAAAAAAAAAAAAAAAAAAAGGAAGGAAGAAAGAAGGAAAGAAAGACTGTGGTTGAGGGATTTACTAATTGTTTCCCTCATTCCATATTTCTATCATACTTTATTTCACAAAGAGCCTGGCACAACTCCAAAACTTTACGAAAAGATAGAATAAATGACTGAAGGACTCGGAGAGAAGGGAAAACAAGAGGAAGAGAGAGATCACCCAGAGATGAGGTCAGGTGGCTCCACGTGGTTCCTAGAGGTGGTTCTGAGCTTCCTAGTGGTCAAAGAGGAAAGCACAGGTGGGTTAGGAGAAGTACAGCTGTTTCTGACATGCCATGAGAGGACTTCTCTGGTGGGCCTAGTCAACAGGACCCGGTGTTTTGTTACAGGCGATATTCTCCACAGATCTACAGATCTCTAAGGCAGAGGTCCTCAAACTTTTAAAACAGGGGGCCACTTCACTGTCCCTCAGACCGTTGGAGGGGCAGA